CTAATCAATGGCATTGTTAATATACACCCAAAAAAATTGTTTTAGTAACGTTCTCCACTACAGTACTGCCAATTAGGAGGAGTAGGATCATGTTAGCAGTGATGGCAGACGGTGATCAATCTTCCACAAGCTCGGAGCAAATGCACTGGTGAGTATGTAATTATTGGCTTTTCTGTGTCCATTATCATCGAAAATTACAGATAATTTTATAAACATTTATCATGTGTGCAATATCATTGAGTTTTATATCAATACCCAATGAAGCCATCATATTGCTCATAGATAAAAAATAATGCTGTGGCAAAATGTATCTCTATTGGAACTACTGTACTGTATATTATAATGACCTCTTATAGAGCTGTTGCTTATTACTGTACACTCCATTTTCCAGGAACTTATTTTGGACACTATAAGAGGTATGCCAGTATGTATACAGTAGTGTATATATATATTAATGAATTGAAATGTACAATCACCTGCACTTACACCTGGTACAGTGGCTGGTGGGTTTGGTGAGAAATGCCAGCATTGTGTTCTTTGACATTGCAGTACAGATATATTGTGGTGAATGGGCAGAAGTAACCTGTTTTTAGTGTTCAGATAACAGTGTTCATTTTATTTTAATTTTAATTTTCCATTTCACCATTTATTGACTTACTAGCCGTTTGGGGAGGTCACTGGATAACGTACTTCCTAAGTGTGTCAGGAACAGAACTTGAACCCGTGACATATGTAATAACGTCATATTTTTTTTCTGTCAGTTCATTGAAATTATGCAAAAAATAAAGTATTCACAGATTGAGAAGGGTAGTCTAAATATAATACAGTTAACCCTCACTTTACGCGGTCCCACATTCGCGTTTACGTTCTGCTGGCGTTGCCCTGCGGAACAGGATGCTCCACATTCATGGTCGTGTACCCCTTTACGCCGAGGCGGCTGGATCAAACCTCCGCCATCCGCCATGTTGTGTAGCTGCGCCGAACATGGTGCGCCACAAAGTTAGCCAGTCATCAAAACATTACCAGTTCTTCACCGCCACCCACCACAGCCGCCCAAGTCAGTGATAGTGATAATTATGGTGAGATATGAATATGGACTTTGGAGTTTGACAAAGAGGCCCTGCAAGCCTCTGTGGTGGATAGTGATACAATTGATACAAGTGACACAGGTGAGGGCCAATAATCTCCCTCTGCCTCGAACCAACGCCCATCCCGTGTGCCCAGCCATTTTTCTACTAATGTAAGTGTTAAAAACCTAATATTATTGATATTTCTCTTAATTATTAATTGTGTGTGCATACCATCATAAAGTTAAGATGATATTTTTACTACAACATAGTTGTGTGTCGTCAAAAGTGGAGTTTGGGGATGTCGCCCAACTCCATTTCAATTAATCCCATATGTTATGTTATTCACTTTGCGTTTCTCACTTCTGGCGGGACCTCCGGTTACATTAACAGCGTAAAGTGAGGTTAACTGTATGATATTATGGTGCAATCTTTCTCCTAACCACAGCATATGGAACCCCCTAATACCTTTCTCCCTCCTTGTCTCCTTGCATCACACCACCGCCACCATCCAACGTTTATCAGATGGTGGGCAATGATGTGATATAATTGGTAATTATAATGTAATCAGTAGCCATAGGAAGTATCAGCATTTTTAGATAGAGGAGAAATCCTTTCTTAACTGTTATTTGACCACAATAAATAGATTGCTTCTGCCCACTCACCTCAATATACTGAACTACAGTGTCAACCAACACAATGCTGCCACTTTCCACAAAACATACCAGCCACTGTACCGAGTACTGTATACTGTATGTGGAGGCAATTGTAAATTCTCTGAGTTTATTTACACTGCATGCAGGCATTGGTATACTGTAACTACTTGTGAATGTTTTCTGATGATCAGGATCAGGAAAGATTATAGCCTACACATATAAACTTTAAAAAATTTCAAGTTATTAATGAAGTGACCAAAACTTAATTTAAAGACATGCAATAAAGGTATGTTTGTGCTGGCAATCATTAAGTTCATGCTAGTATGAATGTATGAAGTAGAATTGTATTACTTATGTAAACAAGCTGATACAATAAACATTGGTGGTTGGAATTAATATGCTTATACTACTGTACTGTACAAATAAAGCAGAATCTTTTCCTAAAACAAATTAAGATGATATTAAACAGTAACACAATACTGTACCATACTGTATTTTGAATGATATATTGATGAATATAAATTACTGTACACTTGATTGAAAAGTCTAATTTACACATGTGAGACTTTTTATGCATTAACCGATCAATAAGTTGATGTGACAATATAACACCTTTTTAATCTCTGTACATATGCTTCAGTACCCTGAATGAAGTGTCATCAATACAGTACCCAATACCGAGGTGTGGTCCCTGAGGCTCACCAGAAGAATAAGAAAATGTACAGAGTTGTTCCTCTGATGAAAAACTGAAACATCCTTTGATCTAGTCATTCATAATTCGCAGGAAATAATATATTAAAACATTTCCATTAAATAATCATCAAATAATTATTTAAATACAGGTAGACCTAGTTTATCACAAATTTATATACAGTGGTCCCTCGGTTACTTGAACACAATCCGTTCCAGCAGGTTGTTCGTTAACCGAAAAATAACGAAACCATTGTTTCAATGGGTTTTGATAATTGGTTCCAGCTCACCGAAAATTGCCTAAATTCAACAAAAATGGTAGAAAGTTCACTTCCTTTGAGGTGTAATGTAGAAAGGCTCCTGGATGATGATGATGATGTGCATTTGAAGTGGGAGGTGGAGGAGAAGAAGAAGAAGGCATTGGGGTGGAGAAGTCACCCATGGCACCATTCACCCATAAAACTTTAGTTCTCTTGGTGTATTTCAAGATTATTTTCTTTAAATCAACACTGCACTGCATTATATATTGTCAATATGTAAAATATATTTCAAAATGACCAATAATTTGGGAAACACAGAAAAAAAGCGTTTAGTTGAAGGAGTCTCAAGCAAGATGTTACTCCATACTGAAGATCGCCCTGTCTGGTGTGTTAACAGGCTGGATGGCATAGAAACTGATTTCAATTGTTCAAAATTGTTAAAATGACTAAAAAAGTTAATATTAAACTTAAATTATTGAATAGTATAAACTTCTTGATATTTACTAAATGAGAATTTAAGCCCTAGAACGATTAATGTATTGTACAGCTGGTTGACCGGCCAGTGCAGCAAAACATGTTGGTCGGTTCGTAAAATTCGTTAACGAATTTTTGTTAGTTAACGAATTTAAAATCTTATAGACAGTTAGATTAACCGAAATTTCGTTAAGGCGTTAGATTAACGAGGACCACTGTTCTGTACTATACAGTGTTATATACTGTATTACTAGTGTAATACAGTATACTGTAGTTATTATAGATGTTGGCTCATGTTTTTTATACTATTCACTTTGTTTGCAATCTCCTTGAGTTTCTCATAAGTATAAAATTATTCTTGTACCATACTGTACTGTATGTTTCTCACTTAATATGTTTATTATTGGTTAATAATCATTGTATACTAAAACTCTTATTAAAAATGTGCTTATTAGGATTTTGTTGTATTTTAAGACTTTGGGAGAGGGATTTTTTCTTAGGAATGTATCAGCTTTTATAATAGGAAAATGTGCATGAATTTTCAAAAAAATATATACTGTACTGTACTGTATATATTTATGAAAGGGTTTTCGGAATGGAACACCTTCATAAGTGAGGGACTACCTGGTTAATTTTCACTTGGTGTTTTTTTTGGTGAAATGTTGATATGTACAGTATAGTCCTCACAGTACTTACTGGTGAATACTTCAATGAATGTTTGCTTATCCTCTTATTTAAGAGATCAATCAATGTAATAAATTGGTGATCCTGTAGACCACAATTTGGGGAGAGTGTTTGGGTGTAGATTCGCAACTACAAAGTAAAGATTTTTAACTGCATAAAAGAAACACGAAAAAACTGTCTTCCCTCTTGGTGGAGACACATTTAGATGGTGAGTGTGTAACCAGTCTAATGAAGAAAACAAATAACTGCATAACTACTTACAGTATATAATGTACCTGAACTAGGTTTTGGTAATTATTTTCAGGTAAAGGCACAAGTGTTAAAGTGATATGTTCTACATCTTATTTATTCAGAGAGCACGTTACAAATGAGAGATGTTCCATTAAACTAACTGTGCATTTTAATCTATTACGTATAGTACAGAATACATGTAAAACATGCTGGCATAACCTGTATGATATAACTAGATTAGCTGCTTTAAAGTACAGTAATGTAAACATGCACAAAAAATCAAAAGCATTCAAGGCATGCATCTAGTAACAACCTCCTCAGTCCTCATGCACCACCACCATCCCCCATACCAGTGATGACTAGTCTATAAAAGAGCATAGACTGGCCGGGGCTCCCATGCACCTAGAGTAGTTCCTCCCTCCTCGACGCTTTCTGTCCACTGCTGATGGGGTTGCCAATGGCCTGCGCTGTCTACCCCTGAGCAATCCTGAGTCTTGTCGATCCATGCTTGTGTGTAAATTTTGCTGATATGACAATGTTGTGTGGACTTAATTTCTGATGGAAGTTTTAGAAATCCCTCTGGGTTGTTTTCTGATCCAGATTCTAATACAGTATTTCACTTATCTCACTCTACTTATAACACTGCATTTCTGTTGTTTAATCAACACTTTCAAAATAAGATCACAATATTCAAAAACATGTTTGAAAATATTCAAAAGGCATATAAAACCTCAAGAAATGTGAAGATAAAGACACTTACAAGACATGGTTTATGAAATTTCGATATGCTATCACAGACAAGACCATTACCTTACAATATTCAAAAGTTGCTCATTATCTGAAATATTATCACAAGACACTACAGTACAAGTGGAAATTATTAACGTGACAAAGATCAAGTCAGAATAGAGGCTAAAATGAAAATATGTTTATCCTATACCTCACAAAAACTGTTGCGTTAGACAAAAAAGGCGGTTATAATTTTATGTATAGTTCACTGTTAAAAGGAGAAATGGCCCCTCAGAAGAAATTATAAAAACTGTATCATCAAATGCTTAATATTCAAAATTATTGCTATCAGTATCTACACTGAACTGCAAACTAAAGATGTAAATGTTATCAACAAAGTGATGAATATGAGCAGGATGGATTGCACCAGTGGCCACCCATCTGTCAGGTCATGTTCAGTTCGTAAAGAGAGCGATAGCAAAGAGAATGATGGCAGTGATCCAGAGTGCAGGCTTGCTCAGGGGTACCTGCTGGAGGAGAACACCTTTACTGTCACAATCTCCCCAAGGAAAGAAAATGAAAACTAGACAAATATTTGAGTAAGACATATACAGCACAGTAGGTTGTACAGTGTACAGTATTAATAATTATAAGGGGAAAATATTAATAAGTTTACACGTTATAGGTCCTTATCATTGTTACTGTCTACTAAGGTTACTAAAGAAAAAGGTACAGTAATGTACAAATGTTTATCAAGAACCTTAATTAACCATTAATGGATGTTTCATGCAGATAACATGCTAGTTAATTATCATTATGAAATTATATATATATATACACCTAGACCCCGACTTACGACGGGGTTAGGGACCCAAATCCAGGTCGTAAGTCCGACATAGAAATTTTTTTTTTTTTTTTTTTTATTAAAATCTGCAGTAGTAATGAATAATGATGAATGGATACAGTACAGTGAAAGTAATAAATAATAAGGAATGGATACAGTGTGACTGAGCACTTAACCTTTAATGTAGTCAGCTGAATGCACATGGGGCCCCCATAATTTTCTAATTATACATGGAGACTACATTAACTGGAAACGTTTCGGTATAGAAAATGCGTGTGTCATTTAAATTTTTTTTTATTTTTTTATCTGAGGCGGTCGTAAGTCCACGTAGTCGTAAGTCGGGGTCTAGGTGTGTATATATATATATATATATATATATATATATATATATATATATATATATATATATATATATATATATATATATAATCAATGACCTCACCAGCCAGGACTCAACCCTCGACCTAATGCATGGGACCAGGGAACGCTACCGACCATACCACTAGAGCACTAAAAGCAGTTCTAGACTACGTATGTGATATTTCGCACAAAGCCTGTTCATCGAGCTGATGGCGCCGTGAACCTCTCATTGGGAACTGCCCGTGCTGCTTATGTGGATGTCAGGCTTTGTGCGAAATATCACATAGTCTAGAACTGCTTTTAGTGCTCTTGTGGTATGGTCGGTAGCGTTCCCTGGTCCCATGCATTAGGTCGAGGGTTCGAGTCCTGGCTGGTGAGGTCATTGATTATATGTTCAAAGTCCGCGTGTTATATGGACTAAAAATGAAATATATATATATATATATATATATATATATATATATATATATACACAGTTGTACCCCACTTAACGCGGTCAATAGAACCCAGAGGGTCCCGCGTTAAGTGAAATCCTAAGTGAAATCCGCGTTAAGTGAACAACAGAACATATGGGATTAATTCCAATAGAAACCGGCCCGACCCCCAAACTCCACTTTTTGAAGACACGTAACTATGTTGTAGTAAAAATAACATCTTAATTTTATGATGGTACATGCACACAATTAATACTTAAGAGAAATAGAGAACTACAGTCGCCAAGTTAATGTCCATTCAAATAATGGATTCAACTCCCTCCGCCTCTTCTCACACTACACTGCTGGCTCTTCCCTCTCTGAGAAATTTTTGGGGGAAAACTACTAAATTTTAATCAATAATACCTCAAACTAAAGTTAGGATAATACAATTGACATTGCTGGATTCCTTGTAAGACCAGGAATATTTTGAATATAAATGTCATATATTTTGCACAAAAGATAACATATTTACTAGAGAAAACATTTTATCTAAAATTTGTATGTCTAATGCAAAATATATGATGTTTATATTCAAAATGATCACCAAATTATAAGAATTCCAGCAATGTAAATTATATTCTGACCGGGTAATTTGTATGAATTTTATGAGCTAAAACAAATATCTTCAGTTAATAAAAAAAATAATAATTCTTCAAGGGGTAACAGATGGTCGGTCGGTCGGTCCCTCCCTCCCCCCCCCACCCCCCACCAACCGTCCCAAGGAGATGTGTGGGATAACCACTAAATTTTAATAAATAATACCTCAAACTAAAGTTAGGATAATATAATTGACATTGCTGGATTCCTTGTAAGACCAGGAATATTTTGAATACAAATGTCATATATTTTGCACAAAAGATAACATATTTACTCAGAGTAAACATTATATCTAAAATTTGTATGTCTAATACAAAATCTATGATGTTTATATTCAAAATGATCATCAAATTGTAAGAATTCCAGCAATGTAAATTAAATTCTGGCCGGGTAATTTGTATGAATTTGCCAGGCTAAAACAACCAAACGATCAAACAGGGTGGCGGGTGGGCAAATCTAAAACTCGTCGAGCCGGACCTCACCCATTATATGTGGAAAAAATCCGTGTTAGTGAGGATTCAGCTCTGGCGAGCACGTATGAAAAACACGTTAAGTGAAACGCGTTAGTAAGAATAATACTAATATATATATATATATATATATATATATATATATATATATATATATATATATATATATATATATATATATATATATATATATATATATATATATATATATATATATATATATATATATATATATATATAAATATATATATAAATATATATATATATATATATATATATATATATATATATATATATATATATATATATATATATATATATATATATATATATATATATATATATAGTCTGTGTTGTGTAAATAATAATAAACCCTGGAGGTCGCGTAAGCGAAAGCGTAACGAAATAACAGAACATATGGGATTAATTGAAATGCCCCAGTAGAGACTGGGACACCCCAGACTACACTTTTCCGACACTGTCATCGTTGTAGTAAAAATAACATCTTAATTTATGATTGTATGCAATTTAATATTTAAGAGAAATATCAATAATATTAGGTTTTTTAACACTTACGTTAAGTAGAAGAGATGGCTGGGCACACAGGATGGTGGGTTGGTTCGGGCAGAGAGGGCAGATTATTGGCCTCACCTGTATCACTTGTATCCTGTCTTATCCACCACTGGGGCTTGCAGGGCCTCTTTGTCCAACCCTCAAAGTCCATATCCTCACTATTACTATCACTATATCACTGACTTGGGCTGGCTGTGGTGGGGCCGGTGAAGAACTCGGTAATTTTTTGTTGGCTGGGCGGCCGTGTGCCTGCCGTGCGCTTCCAGCGTAAATGATGGAATGTCCGAGTAACCAATAATTGCCGGTCTGCACCGCGTGCGCGCATAAATGACCAACGAGTAAAGAAATCCGCGCCGAGACTATATACTGTATGTATATATACAATGTAACCGCTATCTGCCGGTTTAACCATAGCGATTTCGCGCCCATGATTGCCTCGCCAAGCGAACTTTCGCCGCGGTTCATCTACCCCTCGCGCAGTGTCCTTCGAGCTATTTTTAGTGCCCACCGCCACCCGCTGCTCCCGCCTGCCGCCTGCCTCGCGCCTCCTCCTCCTCCCTCCTCCCTCCGCTCCTCCTCCTCCCTCCCTCCCGCCTCCCTCGCCTGGGCAAGCAGCTGTAGGTTAGCAGTGTGTCTTTGTTCGCGTTATCACTGGCGTCATATGACATATCGGACTGTGATTGGCCATGCATCCCTACCCCCCTCTGCTGCTAGCTGTGGTGTTGGTTTAAAGTAATATAGCGTGTCCACCGGGGAGAGGGAGGGAGGGAGGAGGAAAGAAAGGGCGCTACGCGGTAGAGACATCCCACTCAGGCCACCCGTGTATACGTGCATCCATTGTTCTGTGGGAAGTAAGCTGCGGACCACCACCGCCACCAGAAAACCTTTCCTTACCTGGGCAACCACCTAAGCCCAGAAGACGCGCCATTAGCTAAGCTCTGGTGAAATACCAGATCATTCAAGATTTGGAGAAAGGAACACATCAAGTTGATCACCAGCGGCGCCCGGCATGGTGCCAGCGAATCTACGATTCGCACTATTAAGAAGGATTCAGCCAAGATTAAAGAACACATGAAAATCCACAAAGTCTGCAGGTGCTTCAATGATCAAGTATTGCCAGAACGGGGTGCTGGTAAAGGTGGAAAAATTTGCTGGTGAATTATTTGATTAGGTCGAAGCTGACTCAACTTATGGCGGTGGACAGCGTTCAGTGCAGGAGATGCGCGTGAATTTTAATACTGATAGCAGTGTCCGTAAGCTGAGAGATGCAGAGCCAAACCCTTCAATGCTTCCTCTGATTTGGCTGCATAGGTTTAAGAAGAGGAACAAGATCACCAACATCAACATTGGTGGTGAGGAAGCGAGTGCTGACCGTGTGGCGGCTAGAGATTTTCCTCCGTTCTTACGTGAGGTTATGGAGGAAGGACAGTACACTGACGACCAGGTGTTTAACATGGACGAATCATTGGTCTTTTCTGGAAAAAGCTACCTTCCAAGACCTTCGTTGTCCAGTCTGCCAGCAAGGTAAGGGGTCGGAAGTTGCAGAAGGAACGCATCACCGTCCTCTTTACCACCAATGCCTCCGGTACAGTACCTGTAAACCAAAGTTATCGGTGATTCACACAGCCCGCAAGCCGCACGGCAACAAGAATATGGACATGAACATGCTTAATGTCCACTGGCTAACCGCACGTAAGGCGTGGATGTCCTCTTCTCTGTCCCTCTTCTGGTTTGACAACTGTTTTGTTCCTGATGTGAAGAAATTCTGCGAGCAACAGAATGTTCCATTCAACATTTTGTTGCTCCTTGACAACGCACCTGGACACTCGCCCCTACTTATGGATCGTCACCCCAACGTAAAAGTGGTCTTCCTTCCTCCCAACACCACGTCATTAATCCAGCCCATGGACCAGGAGTTGATCTGCAATGTGAAAGCTGCATACTCTGCAAAGAAGTTCAAGCTCCTGAACGACTCTACCAACACCAAGGATGAGTTACGTAAGCCAGATGACACCGACAGCGAGAGTAAAAGCGACGAGGACAAGGAACAAGAGGTGGCGACTCAAGAAGTTCTCGTCAAACAGTTTTGGAAGAAGTTTAACGTCAAACAAGCTGTAGACTTCTTGGTGAAGGCATGGGGTCAGCTGTCTATTGCTACGATTCGTCATGCATGGAGACATGTGTTGCATGGCATACCAGCTGAGAGGAGGAGTCAACCTGTGACTGGTGAGGTTCAGACTGTTGCAGTAGCAGTGGACCTTGCCAGAGAAGCTGCGCACAATATTACAGCTGAAGGCTTCTCCGAGACCACCAACGAAGACATCCTGGAGGTGATCAGAGATCCTGAAGTGACTGCCGACGAGATGTTGGAAGATGAGCACATCAGTGAAGAGGAAGAAGGTGCGTCATTCTCCGAAGAACACAAGTTAAGTCATAGTGATATTAAGGGTGCCATGGAGTGTGCAGAAAAAATGAAGTCCTTCCTTTCCCGCGACAATGACGATGACCGCTATGAAGTCTTCCATACCCGGCTGGTGCAGGCTATGGAGCCGTACATCACGGTGTATCAAGACAACATTAACACTAGCCGTCAAAAAAGCATTACCGAGTTCTTCGCCCGCAACCCACCACAGCCAGCCAGAGCCAGTGATAGTGACAGTGAAGGTGAAGGTGAAGGTGACTTTGAGGGATTTGTCAGGGAGGCCCTGACAACTATAACGGATAGTGATGGTGATTCACCTGGTGATGGTGATTCACCTGAGGGCCAGTAATCTGCCCTCTGCCTCGGAACCAGCCTCCAGCCCCGTATGCCGACCCATCTCTTCTACTAACGTAAGTGTTCAACATAACTTTAGTTTTCCTAACCTAACCTTTATTTTTCCTAACGTAACCTTTATTTTTCCTAACCTAACCTCTTCTATATACTTGTTTGTGCATACCATCATAAAGTTAAGATAAAATTTTTACTACAACATAGTTGTGTGTTGTCAAAAAGTGGAGTTTGGGGGTCGGGCCAGTCTCTATTGGAATTAATCCCATATGTTCTGTTGTTCACTTAACGCGGTTTTCACTTAACACGGTACCCTGTGGGTTCAATTGACCGCGTTAAGCGGGGTATTACTGTATATATATATATATATATATATATATATATATATATATATATATATATATATATATATATATATATATATCTTGATAAAATCCTGCGGGAAGAGGCAGAACCTTGAATTACCTTGGCTTTAGGTCTTTATTTCAAATAGCTAAAACCTCAGTGTTATCAGATTTATCTTATCCACATTTTCATTGTGATTTACATGAAAATATATATATATATATATATATATATATATATATATATATATATATATATATATATATATATATATATATATATATATATATATATATATATATATATATATATATATATATATATATATATATATATATATATATAAATCCCTGTATGCTGTATATACAGATATTACACGAGCTGTAGCAAAGAAAGTGAAAAGTGAATAATTTTTTTTATAGTCCATTTGTTTGATCAACTGTGATCTGTGAGTGGTCAAAATAACTCCCAGTGGACAATCAAATGTCTGGCTTGTATTGTTGTATTGTAGGTCCACCAAGGAGCAGCAAGTCATAAACATCAGCTCGTTTAACAAAAGGAAATGTTCACTTGCTGTCATGTCCAGAGAAAATATCATGAAAGTCACTTATGCATATATCCTAAGTCACCATTGGTGATTATTGTAAAAGTTATATTTATGATATTTATTAATAGCATTATCATTCATGACATACTAGATGCTACATAATAATTCAATATTCCCAAGAGTTGACAACGACCAACTTTTAAAGGAGTGGTTTTATCGAGATATAAAGTAGCTGTAGCATTTTTTTTCTCTTTTACGGGGATTAGCCCACCCAGGCACAGGTCAACGACCCACAATGGGGCCTAGGGGGCGAAAAAATAAGAATACAGGTAGAAAGAAATTAAAAATAGAAAAGGAAAAAGTTATGTTAATCTATAGTATGCATTACTACCTCGTGATATTATAAACAGACGAGAAAACATAAGTGTTTTTTCAAGCACAGCTAACATCCTGAGCTTGTAATCATTAGGTATAACAGTGATCTGACAACTTCTGAATCAGACAGCACCTAAACGGTATTGAATGATCTTGGCGACACATGAAGTCATTGATGAGTACAGTATAGTATACAGTTAATGCTCAATTCCAAGATTTTTATTATTGTACATACGTATAGTACTAATGCTGGAAGAATATCTTTCATAATTATGAATACTTATTGTGCAGTGTGGAAGCTAAGAACTGTGAACAGTGCTTAAAGACAAAAGTTTTACAAGTGCTTAAATGTAGCACAGTTAAACACAGTTGCAAACAATAAAGCATCAGAGATAATATACCCTTATAAGATTAGTGTATGACAATGGTGATTCAATTTTCTCAACCATAAAGAGGAGAAAGGGTTGAAACTTTTTGGGAGCTCAGCTCAACTTGCAATAAGACATTTCAACTGCTATGATTTATGAGTTCATCTTGATCATCCTTATGATAAATAATTTACTCTGCTGCACCAGATTGTCTTTTTTATTGTCTTGCTTTGTCTTTTATAACTGTTATTATATCTTTTGATATATGAATTCAATTAGTTACTTGTTCTTTCATACAATGTACAGTACTGTAGAGTATTCATAATAGACCTGTACACAACCATCTGTTTTCAGGACAAATTTCTCTCATATGCATACACCTGTACTCTACCTACAGCAAGCCATTAAAACAGGTATAATATTTCAAAAAATATCAAACGATGTTATTCTAAATTGAATGATCCCTTTCATTATGTTAGCTGGAAAATTTTATTTGGATTCTATAGGTTGAACTTTTACAGTTGTTACATTTCCATAAAAACAAGAACAGAGCAGGGAACATACTCAAGCCGATAACAATTCATAGTAATTTATAAAATATATTACTGTGTCTGAATTTGTCCTGAGAATGACACTGTATAAATAACTGTAACTTTTCCTTACTTTTAATATCTTGTAAGTTTTGGTGTAGGAATACCTTTACAAGGGCAACTTCAATGTGAGCTGTTTAAAAACTTTCTCAGTCAATCAATTAGTCAGTCAGTCAATCAATTAGTCCATCAGTCAGTCAATTAATCCATCAGTCAATCAATTAGTAAGTCAGTCAGTCAAGAGAGCTAGTGTTCATGGAGCAGTTAAAGCAGAGAAAATCTTATGTTTCTGGTCTTCTTACATTTGGACCAGGTGTATAATTTTACTGGATGTTATCTAATATCCAACAGGAACAATGCTCCTTTTGGGTGAGTACTGAAAACCTTATAACCAGTGTGATGTCTAGTACATGTCTACACTCTCCCCACACCCCACCACCACTCCTGACTCCACCAATGAACACAACTTTCTCTTGGTCGTGATGACAATAAATTTAGAAGTTATGGAGTGTAAAGTATTATGAATTTGATATTGACTCCAGGTTTTTAAGATTTAAGACTTATCTATCAACAGCTTTTTGAGAAAAAAGAAGACTTAAGAGCAGTGTCCTACCCCAGCGGCCGTCTCTGGTTGCTGTTGTTGAGGCCTTGAGGGCAGTGCATCTGGTGCGGGCTATGGGGAAAACTGTGTTAATAACCTTATACTGTACAATTACCCATTATGATATTATAAGTACATATGTGATGATAACACTGACTTATACAGTACACTCAAACACACACTTACACTCACAGACACACATACACTCACACACATACACTCACACCTACACATACACACAAATAAGACTATGATATATATATATATATATATATATATATATATATATATATATATATATATATATATATACAGTGCCATATATGTATACAGTATGCTACAGTGCTGTATATGTGTGTGCGGTGTGTGTGTATGCGGTGTATGTGTGTGTGTGTGTGTGTGTGTGTGTGTGCAGTTGTGTGTGTGTGTGTGTGTGTGTGTGTATATATATATATATATATATATTATTCATGGGATAAATACGAGGCAAGTTTTGTATAGCTTAGCCTGGAGTAACTTAGTGCATCAACTACTGTTTGACTAAAATTTCTATAACCAGACTACAGCAGACCACTGAAGGGCCTCAGAAAGTGACAACACAGTCATGCACAGACTATATTAGTGACATGCAGAGGTGCTTTATGATCCAGATGACTAATGTAATTAGTTAACTGTTTAGCAGTATAATCGTGGGTTTAGACAGAATACATAATTTAAATATGCTTTACAGGAATCTTATATTTAATGGTCTGACATTAACTACAGGATAGTGTGGCACTAACCTCTCCCAGGACAACCCCAGTAGTAGTTCACACTTGTGTTAATAGATAAAAGAAAGCTTACAAGAATTACTGCTTTTTTATACTGTAATTAAACCTATGACATCACGGGCCTCCATCAGTCTGCATAAAATGGAAGTGTGTGACTAGTGGATTCACACATTGGAAGGTAAGCACTTTCATCATTGTCCTCAGACTGGTCTGGGTTTAGATGTGCTTTAAAATGTACTAGAATGAATTAGCATTTCACTAACTACTTGTTAGGAGGCATAATGGAAGATGCAAATCTGTTTATTAAACAAGATGTAACCTCGGGAGCATGATGACTTGAGTCATTGTGCTCAACAAGTATTGATTGAAGTTAAGAGCATAAGTTTCTAGAATGGCTGTCATGATATGCAAAAAATATCCTGTCCAGTACAATATCATTGTGTGCAAGATAATTATGTTTGTATTCTGTAATTATGTTACTGTAAAGAAGTGGTTAAAGTTTTTACTCTAGTTTTAAGGACTTTATCTTCAAAGCATCAGACTAAGGTGACTATTATATATTTACTCAAGTTAAGTCGCCGTACTCTAGGAGATAAGGTAATGTCTTCAAGGGGTTTAAAACCTGTCATACGCATTCAATCAGCATATAAATAAACAAGAAAATATACTTTCGCTGCTTATAGGGGCTATGTCCACTCACTTTAGTGAATCAGTGATCGTGCTCCGGGGCTTAGCTACGTGCCTTACTTGAAAGGGTTTAGTTACAGTATTTGAGCAAATTAAGTAAATAAGAGCCTAAAGCAGGCGGTTACTCACAGCAGCACGGTACAGTGTCAAGTTGAGGAGTGTTGGGTTGGACTCCACCACAGTGAACTCTTCCTCACGGGGGTCGAAACCCTGAGCATAAACCTGTTGAATACACAACTGAATATGTAGGACAATACAAAACAAACATAAGGATTAGATGTTACTTTTACAGTATATGAGTGTTGTAGTTGCAAATGATTCGAGTAATAAGAGGAAAAGTTGCATAAATGAGAAAGAGAATATAAAAAAAGATGATAGTGGTTGAAAGACAAGAGGATAGTGATTAAGTTTATATTATTCAGTAGTATATAGATTTAAAATGTAAAAAGCAAAAAAATCAACATCTGCTGTGGGGATACTGGAGTCAGCAAGGTAGCCTCTTGATCAGGTATACTTATTTTTACTTTTATATTATTCATAAATAGATACATAAATGAAGAAAATCTGAAGAAAAGAAGTGCAGAAAAAAAGAAAGGACATAATAGAACAAACAAGAAGCAAAATGAGGGAAAAGAATGTGAGACAAAGGAAGAGGAAAAGAAGCTTAAGACTTTAATTGTCAAAAAGAGACAAAATATTATAATTATAACTATATGTAGAAGGGAAGAGATTGACCTCAATGGTGTAGTGGCCTGGCAGGAGAACCCGCCAGTACTCGCCATACTTGGTGGTCTGGAAGCCCACGTCACGTCCTTTGATCTTGATGGAGGCAGCTTCCACTGGTCTATCTTGCTCGTCCTTCACAAAGCCCCTCACCCCCCTGTGCACCTCTCCCAGGTACCTCACAAGTGCCTGCAACATAGATCATATAAAAATAAAGTCAAACATCATATGGGCAGTGTCATACAGCACATTGAATGCTAAGCCTCAGTACATGAAGGAAGTAATGTGGCCAGCAATACACTCAACCATCATCACTTTCCAAACTAAGGTCAGTTGATATATATGACATGCTTGAGAACATTATGTGGAGTGAATAGAAGACAAAAAATAAGAAATCAAATCATAAGAAAGAGATGTGGAAGTGAAGTGAGTGTCAAACAGAAAACTGACTAGGGGTTACTGAGGTGGTATCGACTATATATAGACCAATGGGAAGGGAGAATTTGGCATTACCGGTAACAGTTTATAATTCAGAGGTGAATAAATTTAGAAAGGGGAGGAGTGAGAGACAGAGGAGAGGGTGAAGAAGGCAAATGAAAATAAAATAACTGACATCCCGGAAGATTTTAGAAGTAATGTATTGTAGTGGAAGTTCAGAACATACCACTGACTACAGTTTCCAGGGAACCAATTGACAGTAATAGACCAGAAGAGAAGAAAAATGAGTAATAATGTCAGTAGCCTGACCTTCTTGTTGTCCTCCCAGAACTTGGGGAGCTGCTCGGCCGTCGGGTACTTGCAACAAGACATCTCGATGGTGATGTCCATACACCCGTGCCATACGTAGTTGTAGTCCTGCATTCCACCTGTCGAGACCCAGAGTGTGTTAGGCAGTAGGAAGAGGCAGAGAAGAGAGGAATGGAATGACAAACAGATGGAGAATGCATATTACTATATTTTGATCAGTGACTTCTGATATGACAATCATTTCTGAGGGAAACTGCTTCGTTTGGGAGATAATTAGGCGCTAGGCACACACTTTTTTGTCTGGTGTCCACTACTTTGTCTTTCTCGGGGGTAAGTGGCCAAGAAGGAGCATCCCTGGATGTAAACAGCCAATCACATTGACGGCTCCGATCAATGACATTGCACGGTTATGAGCCACAGGTTCGGGCGGCTGCTCTCACGTCCACAAAAAACGTAAAATGACACCTCTCAAAGTAAGTTCTTTCTGTTTAATATGCCAGGGGGGGGGGGTGTCCGAGAGGTGGAGCTCCACGGCTAGAAAGCTAGGTAAAGTTCGGTAGGTTTCTTTGGTTAGGTTAGTGAGGTCTTCTAACATTTCTGCCACCTGTTTTCCTATTAACTAAGGTTGAATTTGGAAATAACCACTTTTTAACACATTTGCAAAAGCTTCGAGTGTCCGCCATAAAACAAAGTGAAATTGCTGCGTTTTTAAAATCGCTTTCTATTTAAAATCTGTAGCGGGTTCGTCATCAATATTTACCATGAAGACTACTCTTTACACCCAAAGTATAAACACTCAACTCGTTAGATGCTTGGGCGATTGGTCACGTCTCTGTTACGCACTGTTGGCAAGTACTGGGCATGCACCGGCTCCTGAATGTACCTGAACCTGTTCCAGTGTTGGTCAAGTCTTGTCACGAAAGAGCTCACAATCGGTGCCGTCACAACACTTTCTGGTAGATTGTTCCAAGAGTTCACAACTCTCACTCAGAAAAAGTTTACCCTCACAGTTTTCTGGACTTGCGGCTTCTTCAATCTTGAGCTGTGACCCCTTGTGGGGCTAGCGTCCGCCAGCTCCAAGTAAGGACACTCAACTGAGTAGTGCCCTTTGAGATGCTTATACACCTCAATTAGGTCACCCCTTGCCCGTCTGTAGTATAAGCTAGGCAAGTTCAGGCGCTGCAATCTCTCAGGGTACCTGAGGTGCCGAAGTACAAGCACCAGTCTGGTGGCCCTCCTTTGAACATTTTCAACCAACTGACAGTCCCTAGCATATCTCGGGGACCAGACGGGGTGACATTACTCCAGATGGTGAAGCACTTCACTTTTGAAGATCGTTACGAGGGACGGGCCTTCCGTCAAAATATCTGAACGATCTTCTTATAAGACCCAATAATTTATTTGCCTGATTTATCTTCTTCTCGTAATGGCCCGAGAACTTCAGCTCATTGTCAACATACACACCTAGGTCCTTCTCACATTCAGTCTCAAATAGTGCAGTTTCTTCATCCCGTTGGGACATATGATACGCCTCCTTACTGTTGGTACGCCCCAGGTGCATCCACTTACATTTCGTGACATTGAATCTCAGCAGCCTTCGACCAATCTTGGAGCCCACAGAGGTCCTTCAGCAGCTCTTCACAGTCCGCTTGGTTCTCGATTTCCTGAAATAGCTTGGAGTCATCGGCAAACATTTGTATGGAGGAGTGTACAACGTCAGGCAGGTACAATTTCTAGAATATGTGTATGAAACCAAGAACGTTTTAAGTATGAAATATTTTGGCAATTTTTCTTAAGGTTGTTTATTTATTTGAATTTAAATTTAATGCGAGTATGTCCATTTTCCAGGAGAAGCTTCATATTCTGTGGCATAATTATTATTTCATTTTGTGATTCTGATTGCACTCAAAAGTATTAATAAATTACCTTAGTTGATATCAACGTGTTCTGAGATACTGTATATATTTTTTTTTAAGTCCAAGGCGTAGGGTAATAAAGGGGAATGTAGGATAATTTCATATCCTGTGTTCCTGTGTATTGTTGAAGAGCCTCAAGGGGTTGGCAACACTGTTTGGTAGGCGATTTGACATAACTACTTTACATGTACTGTTAAAAAATGGCGTCGCTGCACTGGCTGCCTTGACAATTATGTCTTCTTATGCACATTTTTATTATAAAAACGATTTTGCTGTGCCGTATTTCCGTGACCACGGGGTGTTACCTGCAAGTGTCAAGTGCCCGAAGTGTGGTTTTCGGGAAGCACCAGTGGGATTGCGAACATATTTACTATATGTCGTCAGCAGCAGGCGTCAGTAGTATAACCTCCTTTCTGTTGGTAAGTGTTTAGTACTTTAAAGTAGTTGAACATTCATTCTATGAATTATTATTTGAGTTGCAGAGATAATTATGCCGTATTTTTTTTTTTTAAGTTTCCACATCTACTAAGTATTCAGAGTAGACCTACGTGTACAGTAATTATTGTACAAAAATAATACGGGCTGTCTTTTGATATTAAAAACACGTAAATATTTAGCCAATTGACATCCAAAATTAGCGAAATTTTAGCGACTTTGGAGAGAATCTAGCGACTTTCTGAAATCTTGAGTTTGCAACACTGGTCAGCGACTCAGCAAGTCAGCAGTCGGCACATTCTTCTTCCGTCACGAAGATATCGACAACGGGCCTGAAGTTGATGAACCTAAAGCTTGCTTATCTGAATAAGGTAAGACCCTTCAATTGTTCAAGACCACGACATTGTTCCTTTAAATAGTGACTGTCCACACTGCGGGAATCCCTGTGCTTGCAGACGGAAAGAAATTAGTTTATCACTTCCTTAACTCCGTGGCACGACGTTTCCCGACATCACAATAATTCACTCTGCCGAGTGCCGCCCGGGCTTGCATAAGAGCCGATGCGACCGCATGGTCTCACGTCCAGAAAAAGCCTCAAATTACACCATATCATAGTAAGTTCATTTTGTTTAGTATACCGCGGGGTCCAGGGGGGCTGAGCCCCCCGGGTAAGGAAGTTAGGTAGGTTTGTTTGGCTAGGTTGGTTAGGTTGTTTTTCATACCCACAAAGGTTGTTACGTTTATTTTATAAATAACAGTTTTGGTAAATTTGCACTTCCACCTCCCCATCTGTTAGAAAGTCAAAAATATATTTTTCTAGTATATTTGTGTTGTGTTTAGACCGAATATGACCTTCATTTCCGTCGGAAATTGACCGTTTTTTTCGATTTTTTTCGTGGGACGTTTTTCGAAAAAAAAAAAATGGCTAAGTGAATAAAAAATGCACAAAAACACACTAGAAAAACAAAAACATAACCTAAACTAACCTAACTGACTCACCATTTGATGGAATTACCTATTTCTTACCTTAGGTTAGGTTAGGTTGATTAGGTTAGGTTTTTTCGGTAAATTTACAGTTTTAGCCACAGCTACTGCTCGACCACAAATTTTTGTTTTTCCTATGGTATTTGGTGCGATTCATTCGAATTTGACCTTCATTTCCGTCGGAAATGAGTCGTTTTGGACTTATCACCCTCCACCACCCCCCCCCCTTCCCACCCCTCATACAACCTGACCTAACCAACCAAGGAAACCTACCTAACTTCCAGTATTAAACAGAAAATACTTATTTTGATATTTGGTACCAATGAAAGCAACTTTGTTGAAGTATCATGATGTAATTTTACGTTTTTTTTTTGGCGGACGTGAGAATAAAGTACTGTACAGTACAGCTCAGACTAAACGGGTCGGCTGTAAACAAAACATACGTCACTCGGTGACTGCATTTTTAAGTTAATTTCTTATGTGAATTTACTTTCTCGGTTGATATCCATTTGCGACGGAAATGGTATTAGAAAAAGTTGTTCCTATTGACGAGATATAACTAATGGTAAACACAAAAATGCTCTAACCGAGTTGTGGCTGAAACTAGTAGTACCGGTTAGGTTAGATTATTTTTTTTCGATTTATTTGTTATTGTGTTTTGATCGATAGTGACGTTCATTTCTAACGGAAATCATTTTTTTATGAAGAATTTCCAACCTAAACCACGCAATATTTCGATAACCGGTCGTTTCCGACGGAAATATCTAAGAAGAAAAGTGTTTTAGAACAGTCTGGGCTATACAAAAACGTGTTTTAATTAATGACTTGAGTTAGGCCAGTTATGCAAATTTACCCTCAATAAATAACAGTAAAAATGCTTTGAACGTGAAAAAGTTGACTTTCAGAAAATGTATTTTTAGTACGGAAGCCCTGACGGCCTAGTATGTTGAAGGCACGGAATATTGGAAGGAACTATTAAGGCGTTTATTGTAAGACGTTTTAAGATGCACGGAATAGCTAACACGTTAGCTTTCCCGGACTGTCATTGAAAAATTCGACATTGTACCGCGTCTTGGGAATAACTGTTTTACAACACAGTATTCAGAAAACAATAAAATTAGGAGAACTGTTATTTGGACACAATTCGGAAAGAAATAGCGAAGAAAATATATAAATAAAATTATTAAAAGAAAGAAAAAAAAGAAAAAAAGTCCACCAATCAACAATAAATAAGAATAAAAAAAAATCGGTCCCGTTGTGAAGGAAATTTCACCCGGACATCTTCTGTCACGGCCAGGTTCGCATATTTGTGCAAGAAATACGACGAATTTCAGGTTCGTTTGTCTTAATTTTTGCACTTACAGAACTGTAATCAACTTGTTCACACTTATTTAAAGTCTTTTATGAGTAATGATATTAATGTTTCAATCATCGTTTGATTAATTATCAATATTGTTACACCAAAGTCACCAATGGTTAATGAAATTTGACAGCGCCCACTTAAAAAGGACTGAGCCAAAACAGGTTTCAACTAGGCGCGATCCTTTTCACTTCTTTCACGCCATATGCTTTGCTTTAGGTCCTATCCAATATACTACCGTATAAAGAATTATTTTTATTCTTATAGCACAGTTTTTTATTGCCTTACATGCCCTCAACTCTTCAATATTAATCAAAATATTCTCCATAAGCGGCCATGATCCGCGTATTTTCAGTGGGAGAAATAGCTGATCGGACTGCCAGCGCCCACTTAAAACAGGGCGGAGCCAAAACAGGTTTCAACTAGGTGCTATCCTTTTTAATTCTTTCATGCCTTACTCTTTGTTTTAGGTCCTATCCGATATACTATCGTATATAGAATTATTTTTATTTATTATATCTTAGTTTTTTATTGCCTTACATGCCCCTAACTCTTCAATATTAATCAAAATATTCTCCTCAAGCGGCTATGATCCGCGTATTTTCAGTGGGAGAAATCGCTGATTGGTTGTTAGCTATTTGGGCGCTTAAGGCTAACGCCTGATCGAGGTGTTAGCTTTTCCCTTTGAATGTGTCATGCGCACAGGTCAAAAGCAGCGTCTGCGCATACAGAATAGCTAAAGCGTTAGCTTATCCGTGCATCTGAAACGCCTCACAATAACCGCCTTTAGTCTACGGGAATACGTCAATCCCTATTAATTGGATGCTTGTCCTAGAGATGGCGCTGGATCGCTGGTTGTTTGTCTACATATTCAACGAATCCATGGTAGTAGGTAGATATATAAATATGTCTCCAATCACCGGATAACGTTGTGTTTGTGGGAAAAAACAAAGGGAATGATAGAGAGCTATGGTTCCATTTCTTCTTAATAAACAGGAAAAGGTAAGTTTATAGTTATGTAGTTGGTTCATAAACAGTGACGGTTAAATTGCAGTTTAATTTATCATTTCACCACTCAGCTTATTAGCCATTCGGGCGGTATGTTTCTTATTTGTTAATTTGTTGTGGCTGCCAACAGAGAGAAGCTCGGGAAGCAGCCATCCCCCTGGACTCCCCGCCCACCTGGTACGATGTCCTCCGTAAACTTCCTGACCTCTCTTACGTCTATGGGAAAGGGTCGCGGAAAGGGGACGTGATTGCTGCCCGTATCATCATTGGGTATGACTTTGCTTGGGAGATTGGTATCCCCGCATCCCCTGAGCAACGCTCTTGTGCATTATGCAGAAGACCCGACAGCAGCACCCTTATCCACTACCTCCTAAGATGTCCCCACACACAACGCTTCCGTGACGCCTGCTGGACCACCACTCCACGACCCCCTGACGGAGACACGATGATCCTCCCCATACTGGCCAGATATTTTGTAAATAACATTGATTATGTGTTAAAGGAATATCCTTCCTTCCTTAGGCTTTAGTAAGCCCCTTTATAATATTTATACTGTATATACTTGTCACACTTGCCAGATGCTTCTGGTTGTCATTGTACAGGGGTACCTAGTGACAGCACTAGGATCCCACTTCCTCTATCAAGGAATAAACAATTGAAATTGAAAATTGAATTTGTTGTGAACTTGATTGTCCAGTAGCACCAATCGAGTACCCCTCCTTTTATCGTAGTTTCTAGTGTAATTTTAGCTCTTCAAATGTACAATTAATATATAGGAAACTAACTGAAGAAAGTAAGAGCCTTGTTTGTTTACGTGAGATAATTATAGTGGTCCGTGTCACAGACCATCGTGAAGCGAAATTCAAAGTTAAATTAGCTGTAACTTTTGTCTTGTTCATTTCCGAAAAAAAATGTGTTACATATCTGGAAAGAGAGGGTAGAACTCCCTAAAATAAATTAAAAAGGGTTTACTCAGTGGGTCTTAAATTGCAAGTTAACCAGTCATTTGAAAGCACATACCCCTGCGCATTTATACCTTTATCCTTTTCGCCAATAATTGATTATACTGTACCTGTAGTTACACATACAATATCAGTGGAAAGAACTGTTAACGTGTCTGTTATTTTCTAGTGTTATAGCTCCATTAATTGCCCGCTATTGTAACATGCTTAAAAAGATATAACTTGCACAAAAGAATTTTAAAGCTCACTGGGCTCTATTGAAGTGAATTTTATGCTCGTGCACAGTACAATGAGTAACTGTTCGCGCTGAACCACATACAGTATTTCACGTCACGCCCTTTCAAAAGACTGACAGGGTAGACACACGCTACTGGAGGTTATGTATCCAGTGCGCCTACTTGTTGAGTTTATTTACTTTTGACTTTTTTATTTTTACCAGGATTAGCCCACCAGGGCACAGTTCATTGACCCACATCAGGGCCTGGGGTCGAAAATATAATAATAATAATAATAATAATACAGCAATAATATTACTAATAATTAATAAAAATTATAAAAACATATTAGTTAATATATAATAACAACAGTAAAGGAATATAAAAAAAAAAGACCAATGGTGAGAAACGGTACATGTATGTTGTGTTGTCAAAGTAAGAGAAACAATTGAAACCCTGCATTTGTGTGTAGATGAGACAAAGTCAGATCAGGAACCTGGGACTTGGTCAAAATTTTGTGATGCCATGGGCAGCAGGGTCTACCATTAGATAATACATTATGATTCCAATATCTTCTCAGGCAGTAGTACCTCCCTGTTTGATAGCTGCCTACTACCTACTACTTAAATAGGGCTTAATTGTAAAAAGTTCACTGATATTAAATCGGAAGGTTGGTACCACTGGGCCAGGCCAGGCCAGGCACAATTTGATTTTCTACAAATACTGGTAAAGTAAGAGAGTAAGATTCTCTTAATCGATCTTTCCTGCACCGCGGGACTATTGCTAGAGGACCTTAATTACTGCCAAGTATTTTGCCGTCTGTCCCTTTTTATATCAGGTAATGTAACCTTATCCAATGCTTTAGACCTGATAGTATTGTCTCACCTCATGTTCCTACGTGACTGTTAGCTTGGTCACTCTTGGGTCTTGAGATTAATGTTGTTTATGTAACCTCTACTTTGAGCTGGTTGGGTGCCATATATATTATGCTTCATGTTAACTGTCTGTGTTACTGTTGTCTTAGATTTAAGGGGGAATTAGTTATAAGACATAAGTTAATTATAGTGACTTATTACTTATTTCTTTTCTTTTTTACGGGGATTAGCCCACCCGGACACAGGTCGCTGACCCACATCGAGGTCTGGGGGGCGAAAATGTAATAATAATAATAAATAATTGTCATAATAATTCAAAATAAATAAAATTTATGATAAAACAAACAAATAAAATAATAAAATAATGATAATAATACAGTAACTGTAATAATAATAATAATAGTTTTAATAATAAAGAACTATAAATACAAAAATGAAAAAAGATCAAAAGTGAGAAACGATATACATTATGTATGTTGTGTTGTCAATGGTAAGAGAAACAATTGAGACCCTGCAATTGTGTGTAAATGAAGCAGAAAGTCAGATCAGCAACCTGGGACTTGGTCACAATTTTCGTGATGCCATATGGCAGCAGGGTCTACCATTAGACAACACATTATGCTTCCAATATCTTCCCAGGCAGTAGTACCTCCCTGTTTGGTAGCTACCTACTACCATTTCTGCCCTTGTTGGAAGTATGGATCTTTAGGAATACTGGGTTGTTATATAGAGAAGTAGAGCTGACTGCCTCTTATTGATACATTGTTGTACCTGCATGATCTGTGCACACTGTACACCTGTATTTTATATATACACGTGAAACTAATTTTAAACTTATTGGATGATTTTATTGAATAAATTTTATTATAACAATACTAACATACCAGAACTGGGTACCATAACATACCAGTCAGGGGATACCATGCGGCGCCGTTGGTGGTACCATTGGTGAAGGTAGGCGCCCCGGGTTTACAGGGTAGTCCAAGGTGCATGCTGGCGTGGTTGAAGGAGTATACGCTGGAGATGTGCTTGAACACATCTTCGTCAGGAGTCAGCGAGGGCGTCGAGGCGAATTGCTGGAAAACTGCAGGAGCACTCACATCAGAAGCTATTGGGCGGTGTAGGGGCAGAGGGGGCTGTGGTTGTGGTTGGTGGTGGCTGGAGAGGAGGGTGGTGGTGGTGGAGGAGAGGAGTGGTGGTAGAATGGTGGAGAGGGGTGGAGGCGGTAGAATGGTGGAGGGGTGGAGAGGGGTGGGAGGAGCGGTAGAATGGTGGAGAGGGCAGTAGAATGGTGGAGAGAGTGGAGGAGCGGTAGAATGGTGGAGAGGGGTGGAGGAGCGGTAGAATGGTGGGAGAGGGGTGGAGGAGCAGTAGAATGGTGGAGAGGGGTGGAGGAGCGGTAGGGAGAGGGGTGGAGGAGCGGTGAATGGTGGGAGAGGGGTGGAGTGGAATGGAGGGTGGAGGAGCGGTAGAATGGTGGAGGGGTGGAGGAGCGGTAGAATGGTGGAGAGGGTGGAGGAGCGGTAGAATGGTGGAGAGGGGTGGAGGAGCGGTAGAATGGTGGGAGGAGGGGTGGAGGAGCAGTGGGAATGGTGGAGAGGGGTGGAGGAGCGGTAGAATGGTGGAGAGGGGTGGAGGAGCGGTAGAATGGTGGAGAGGGGTGGAGGAGCGGTAGAATGGTGGAGAGGGGTGGAGGAGTAGAATGGTGGAGAGGGGTGGAGGAGCGGTAGAATGGTGGAGAGGTGGAGGAGCGGTAGAATGGTGGAGAGGGGTGGAGGAGCGGTAGAATGGTGGAGAGGGGTGGAGGAGCGGTAGAATGGTGGAGAGGGGTGGAGGAGCGGTAGAATGGTGGAGAGGGACGATGGTAGGGAGAAAGTTCCATGGTAGAGAGAGAGATTGAAAGAATTGAGTGATGGTAGATGGTACAAGAGTTGAATAATGTCGCAGCAAGATTGCCTGTCGAGGAAATGAGTTGAGATAGAAAGATTGTTGATAGTTTTAGAAGTGAGTCAAGATGGATGTAGAATGAGTGATGAGTAGAGATGGATGTACTCGGGGTGATAAGTAGAGATGGATGTACTAGGGATGATAAGTAGAGATGGATGTAGAGTTTATGTTCAACGAATGAATAACTGATGGATGATAGATTAGGTGTTAATTGAATGATAAAAATAATTGCTAATTGATGGATGGTTCAATACTGATTCTTAGCGAAGTAAAAGAAAATGGGATTGATGGATTGACAGAAATTAAACGAAGGTGAAAATTAATGTTGGAATTGTGTGCCGATGAAGGATAAATAACAGAGTTGAGTGTGGATGGATGGATGGGATGAATAACGATAGATGAAAGATTAACATTAGGATAGAATGGGTTGGCATTTCAAAAGTAGTTTAATGTGTCAGTAATGGTGTGTGTGTGTGTTGCTGTTTCACTGTCATTGGCTAGTTGAAAGTAGATCGTAAGGGTGTCGAATTGTGGACGTTGAGTTATAGAAGTCAAATTGCAAAGGTCGAATCGTAAGGGTAAATTTGTCTCGGTCGAAAAATGGACCTGGGGGTTGAAGTCGAGCTGTGAAGGTTCATTTGTGAAGGTCGAGCTGTGTTGGTTAAGTTGTAAAGGTGGAGTTAAGAGTCGTGTAATGCCCGAATGTGAAGGTTCGGACGACACATATCCAGTAGTTGTTCTTGTTAGTCAATACAAACTCATGGTGTGGAACTTGGGAGGCAGTAAGCAAGTATTTAATTAGTTAACTGTAGTCAGTCATTTATCATATTGAATTATTATAATTATTTTATGTTTAGTGTTTATTATTTATCACGATGGGTAGCGATTAACAACGTTAAGTGTTTATCTATGACATAAACACACACAAACAACATCATAACAAACTGGAAGAGCCATTCAGTAATAAACCAACTACAAACATTACCAAACACTAAAACAACACAATGAAAGTCAAGCAGTCTGCGAAATTTTGGTGGTGCAGTAATCATGATAATGATACAATGATATTAATAATAATAAATGAATAATGACAAAAACAAAAGAAGGTGGTAGAAGCAGGGCTGCCAACACAAGCAAGCGAGCGGCAGGAAAACAGCAAAACTTCATGCTCTATCATCTTAATCGTGCAGTATCAAGTATCGTCTCTGTCTTTTAATGTTTAAGATAAATATTATATCATATATTTAGGTCGGAGGTATTGGGTTGGCTCACAGATTATGTGAATTAACGTGTCATTTTTTTACTCATTATTTTATAGCTTCGCTTTAATTAATTAATGTCAACAACACTGACGAGTTGCGAGGGAGCTAACTTATGAAAACACACATCTCTTATTGCTTGGTCACCTTATTACCTGTTCTGAGATATCAAGACAATATCTCTCCATCTTGCAGTAGTCTAATTAAATCAAAGGTCACCAAGCTACACACCGTGTGACCAGACCTATATAGCACCATATTAAATAAGATATGTTCGATTCCATTAGTGGCAAATGCAAACACTTTAATTCTGCCGTGAAGCAACACGTAAGCATAACGCCATCACACGCGTGGCCAATAACAAAGCAGCATCTCACAAATGTCAACAAAGACTCAACTCACCGCTCCTAAAATCGACCTCCACTCTATCATCTTCGCCTTGAGTTGCGTTTAAGATACGCTGAAGCAGAGACCAGTCGAGAGCTGGAATTTGTGACACATTCTTATATATTCGGGAACACTTTACAGAGGCTTAACAGTTTATATACAGTAGCAGCTCGTAGCAGAGGGGAAACACTGCACTCGGAAAATTTATCTGGAAGTTTTAATGTAAAGAAGATTTGTCTATATGCATCTGGGAAATTAGTATCGTTTATTCTGTTTATGATATCCCGCCAACATTATAAAACCCTGGAATGAAGGATAAGTTTATGTTCTTATTCTCTGAGTCATATGCCTTCCTGGAGACGTGTTTTACTGGTTTGGTTTAAGCAGCACACCTACCTCTTACCCTCCCTCCCCCATCTACATACTGAAGAAATTGTGTTTCAGCATGACCTCCTAAATTAACTAAAGTTAGTCGAGGAAGGCACTTGTGAGGAAGCAATATTGGTTCTTATTTGATAGCTAAAGTGATGATATCAAGATAATAATACAGAGAATCTCCAAATAATCTGACCGACTGGACTGTCGAGTTGCATTATTTCAGTGTTTCTTTCTTGACTAACGAAGCTCTTCTCTACAATGAACATGCAGGATTAAGATATTATTCCTTTTATTAACCAAAACATATAATTGTGCCCAAAGGTAAATTTTTGCCATCCAAAAAATAATAATTTATACAACAAAATTATATCAACACGGACTTTAAAACAAGGATGATATCAACCGAGTCTTCTACAGCGACACGGGCCTAGGAAGGTGAACTTTGTGATGCATGACAGGCGAGACCAACCAACCTAGAGGTTTGAACGTGGCAATGCAATAGTTACTGGGCTCAGAGAAAATACCTGCACACAAGGGCTTCAGGTTGCAGTCCTTAACTATGAATGATACAGAGAACTGTGTTAGTACATGGTGCAGGAAACCTGAAGCATCATTAATATGTTAAGAAAAAAGATTATAGAATTTCACAAGAACTGGTAGTTGCTTCTGGGTGATCCTCTTGCTTTATAGGTAGTAACACTGATAACCTTACATCACTATGGCTTAACAAGACCTGCTCTATGACTAACATGGCAACCTAACCTATCATTCTCAATCATTCGGCCTTGCTTCCAGTACCTCCTCGTCGTGTGAGTGCACAACATGCAAAAGTTGTCTATGATATTAACTGCAACAAATAATGAACTGTAGATATTTAAACACACGCACACACACACACACACACACACACACACACACACACACACACACACACACACTGCCTTGCTGTGTTGTAAAGATCACACATATTTACACAAATAATTGACCTTATCATAAACACTAGATATCTATATCCATTCTACTTTAGCTAAATCTGCTATGTAATATCCCACCGTGAACCAGTGTAAACAGTAATTACTCATTCCCTGTATCCTAGTTAACTCTTGAACTATAGAAGACGCCTATTAGTATAGTTCCCCAGACTCTGAATTATGTAGTCACTCAAAAGAACTATATGCTCTTGGGGTGATCAATGAATTTCTGAAGAATGAACACTGCGACTCCTGCTTTCATGGTAGGGTTGTCAAAAATCCTTCGTCCGTTGTGTCATATTTTTTCAAAACAATTTTGTATAGATATTTTTTTTGAGTGACTAAACTAAGAGTACTGCCCCCTATCCTATGTATCCGTCGACTTGCAAGTGTTAAATACGTACAACCCTGACCACTATACTGCACATACAACACATGTGATCGGTACTTACTGGTGTTGGGTGAGTTGTCGAAGGGGTAAGAGGCGACAAGAGCACCTCCGTGAAGGTTGGCTGAGAGGACAAACTGAATTTTAGAGACCCACTGCTTGACTGCCTCTGTCTCTGGTTGGTTCCGTTTGTTGTTCTGCTTGAAGTAGTCCGGGAAGTTGCGGTTTAAGTCAAAGCCGCGAGAGTTGTATCTGTGCAGGAGAGGAAATGACAGCGGTCGTCAGTACAGTAAGTGTATTCGTTTCCTATTATTTATCTTCCTCTCCATTGCTTCGTCTTTCTTCCTTATTAGCATGTCGTGTTTCTAAGTCTTCTCCAACTTGCTTTATAGTTCGTTAACTTTTTATTTCAACCTTTTTTTTTTTAGGTTTATTTATTCTTGTCGTTTCTTTTTTGGTCGGGTATTTCCTGATTTGTTTTATTTAATTTTAATTTTAGTTTAATCTTTTAACATTAATAATTATATATCTCCAGCGCCGCCATATGACCCTGGCTGTTGCGGCGCGAAGATGATAATCATAAGCATTCATTCATTCTTAACACCGTCTTACCTGCCCTGTCCTCCCTGGCAGGTACCCTCCCTGGCCACCTCGAAGCCATCAGGGTTCATGGAGGGCATAATGTGGATCCTAGTGTTGTCCAGCAGCCAGCGCACGTAGTCATCCGTCCCGTAACTCTTGGCCAAGTACTGCGCCACACAAGGATGTATTAGTAAGTGTACTAAACGTCTTCATGTAAAGCTACTTTTCTGAGTATTTGTCTATCATAGCAACTTGCTGAAAGAAATCCATGAGTTTTATACAACTTCACATTGTAGGTACGAATTTGGTATGTCGATCTGCCCTTGAGTAATACCCCTGGAGGTTGAAAGATTAGGCTCAGTGAAAAGAGCAGTTCTGTCGCTCTTTGTAATAAATGTGTGATCATACAGGTAATCGAAGCCTCCAAACAGATGTATGAAATAAATCCAGCACTGACAAACAAAGAGTAACAATAGCTAACGTGCTGTACATTAGGTGACAATGTTATGTACTAACTCATACCACATGACAGCGGCCCTGAGGAAAGATTTCTGGTCTAGTGAGAGTCGCGTAAACAACAGAGTGAGGAGGTTAGGCTTGGCTAAGCTAGGCTAGGCTAGATTAGGTTAGGCCCCCCAGGCCTTGATGTGGGTCATTAAAAATGACCTGTGCCTGGGTGGGCTAATGTCCGCAAAAAAAGAAAAAAAATTATGAGTGAGGAGGTTAACCTTAGTCCGACAGTGAGAACAGTGTTGTGGGTTATGTTAGGTTAGGTTATGCGTGAGGAGGTTAACATTAGTCCGACAGTGAGAACAGTGTTGTGGGTTATGTTAGGTTAGGTTATGAGTGAGGAGGTTAACCTTAGTCCGACAGTGAGAACAGTGTTGTGGGTTATGTTAGGTTAGGTTATGAGTGAGGAGGTTAACCTTAGCCCGACAGTGAGAACAGTGTTGTGGGTTATGTTAGGTTAGGTTATGAGTGAGGAGGTTAACCTTAGTCCGACAGTGAGAACAGTGTTGTGGGTTATGTTAGGTTAGGTTATGAGTGAGGAGGTTAACCTTAGTCCGACAGTGAGAACAGTGTTGTGGGTTATGTTAGGTTAGGTTATGAGTGAGGAGGTTAACATTAGTCCGACAGTGAGAACAGTGTTGTGGGTTATGTTAGGTTAGGTTATGAGTGAGGAGGTTAACCTTAGTCCGACAGTGAGAACAGTGTTGTGGGTTATGTTAGGTTAGGTTATGAGTGAGGAGGTTAACCTTAGTCCGACAGTGAGAACAGTGTTGTGGGTTATGTTAGGTTAGGTTATGAGTGAGGAGGTTAACCTTAGTCCGACAGTGAGAACAGTGTTGTGGGTTATGTTAGGTTAGGTTATGAGTGAGGAGGTTAACCTTAGTCCGACAGTGAGAACAGTGTTGTGGGTTATGTTAGGTTAGGTTATGAGTGAGGAGGTTAACATTAGTCCGACAGTGAGAACAGTGTTGTGGGTTATGTTAGGTTAGGTTATGAGTGAGGAGGTTAACCTTAGTCCGACAGTGAGAACAGTGTTGTGGGTTATGTTAGGTTAGGTTATGAGTGAGGAGGTTAACCTTAGTTCGACAGTGAGAACAGTGTTGTGGGTTATGTTAGGTTAGGTTATGAGTGAGGAGGTTAACCTTAGTCTGACAGTGAGAACAGTGTTGTGGGTTACTCGGGAGGACAAAACACAGAGACGCTGATAGGATCTGTGCACTAATTTTAAGCTGTGTCATTATTACAATTTCAGTGTTAAATAAATTCATGACCCTAATGTCATAATTATGGGTGATATTCGGAAAGGACTTTAATTTTAGGAAACTGTAGACAGAAGATGGAAGAGTTGTACTCGATACTGAATAGGTTTAGATGAGACAGTGTGTTACGCCAAGCAGTGTCCAATATCTTGAGAAAGTACCTCGCATGTCGGTGTTGAAGTGGCGAGGGCAACGTGAGAGGTGCCGGGAAAGGTTTATGGGTAGCGGCGAGATTGTCAGTTTCACTACTTGGTGTTGACGGCAATGCACAGTGAGTTTTACCAGGAAGAAAACAGAAGATGGGGGCAATAGTGTAGACCAGAATGATGAATATGGATTGACATAGAAAAGATGGTGAGATAAAGGGAAGAGTGTGAGAGAAAGAAGAGGAGAGATAAGTCGGGAGAAAAAAAATCAGCAGGTGATACAAGATACAATTATTTGTAAGAAACTTCAAGACGACCACACCTACGGGACATTGTTGGCAACAAAAATGTTTCCTGTTTATGAGTGTAATGTTGGTAACACGGGTAGTTCTTAGTGGTGGGGACTACAGTTGGCAGGAGTGTGCCTTGAAGAAAGGGAACAACTCAACATAAGAAAGGGAACACTCTACGGAAGAGAAGGAACACTCAACAGAAGATAAGGAACACTCAACAGAAGATAAGGAACACCCAACAGAAGAGAAGGAACACCCAACAGAAGAGAAGGAACACTCAACAGAAGAGAAGGAACACTCAACAGAAGAGAAGGAACACTCAACAGAAGAGAAGGAACACCCAACAGAAGAGAAGGAACACTCAACAGAAGAGAAGGAACACTCAACAGAAGAAAAGGAACACTCAACAGAAGATAAGGAACACTCAACAGAAGAGAAGGAACACTCAACAGAAGATAAGGAACACTCAACAGAAGAGAAGGAACATTTAACAGAAGAGAAGGAACACACAAGACACAGGAGGTGGTGTTGGGTGTCTTACCTCTATCAGGTGTAGGAGCATCTCTCTACCGATGGCCTCGTTACCGTGCATGTTGGCCACGTACTTGACGTTGGGCTGACCGACGATGTGCTCGTAAGGCGATGCAGACACCACCATCACCCAGAGGTCCCGACCTATACAGGGAGAGAAAGACACACGTATACTGTACACTGTCTTTACTTACGTTGAAGGAGCAGTAATAGTTATATTAATTACTGTGCAGCACTTGTTGTTCACACACACACACACACACACACACACACACACACACACACACACACACACACACACACACACACACCACATCTCACCCCCACACTACTACTACTACCACCACTACCTCCACCTCACCAGCAATAAGGTAGAGAGAGGTCAGAGGGTGGAACAAGGTGGCGGACGTGTCGCCATTACACACCAGGGACCACTAACTGGGATTAACTGGGATTTAAAGGATTACTGTAGACACCCGCCCGTCAGCCTTGGCTTAGAGAGAGAGAGAGAGAGAGAGAGAGAGAGAGAGAGAGAGAGAGAGACTAGTGTGATCACGCGGAGAGGACGACCGACTTTATGGTGGAGGTAGTGAGGCTAAAAACCTGAATGGGGGGAAGTGTGAGGGAGGAGAGGGGAGTGTGAGGGAGGAGTGAAGGGTTTGGGGGAAGAGTGGGGAGTGGGAGGACGGTATACCATGGAAAAGATATTATTCTACCCTCGACAAGCCCGCCTGCTAGTTTTGCACATATATCGCCTATTGTACAAAGAGGAAACACTGTCCTCTACTCCTCACATATTCACAGTGTGTTTTAAAGCAGAGTGTTCCTCCTTAAAGCGAGTGGGAGTTCGTCTTCTATTTTATATTTGTAAAGAAAATTGTTTTAATCATTCATGTTAAAAAGTAAATTTCCACGACATATTTCCGGTAGCCTTCAGTCTTTTCCACATTTAGCCTCTCCCACTCCAGCGTCCCCCTCCAGCGCCCCCTCCAGCGTCCCCCTCCAGCGTCCCCCCAGCTCAGCGCCCCCTCCAGCGTCCCCTTCCTTCTCCAGCGCCCCCCTCAGCGTCGTCCCCCTCCAGCGTCCTTCTCCAGCGCCCCCTCCAGCGTCCCCCTCCAGCGCCCCCTCCAGCGCCCCCTCCAGCGCCCCTCCTCCCCCTCTTCTCCCTCCTCCTGCATCCTTCTCCTCCTCCTCCTCTTCCCCTGCGTCCTCCAGCGTCCTTCGCGCCTCCCCCTCCAGCGCCCCCTCCAGCGCCCCCCTCCAGCGCCCCCTCCTCCCCCCCTCTTCTCCCTCCTCCTGCATCCTTCTCCTCCTCCTCCTCTTCCCCTGCGTCCTCCTCCAGCGTCCTTCTCCAGCGCCCCCTCCAGCGTCCCCCTCCAGCGCCCCCCTCCGCCCCTCCTCCCCCTCTTCTCCCTCCTCCTGCATCCTTCTCCTCCTCCTCCTCTTCCCCCGTCCCCTCCAGCGTCCTTCTCCAGCGTCCCCTCCAGCGTCCTTCTCCAGCGCCCCCTCCAGCGCCCCCCTCCAGCCCCATCCAGCGTCCCCTCCAGCGTTCCCCTTCAGCGTCCTTCTCAGCGCCCCCCCAGCGTCCCCCTTCAGCGTCCCCCTCCAGCGTCCATCTCCAGCGCCCCCCTCCAGCGTCCTCCAGCGCCCCCTCCAGCGCCCCCCCTCCAGCGCCCCCTCCTCCCCTCTTCTCCCTCCTCCTGCGTCCTTCTCCTCCTCCTCCTCCTCTTCCCCTGCGTCCCCTCCAGCGTCCCCCTCCAGCCCCCCTCCAGCGTCCCCCTCCAGCGTCCCCCTCAGCGCCCCTCCAGCGTCCCCCTCCAGCGTCCCCTCCAGCGCCCCCTCCTCCCCTCTTCCCCTCCTCCTGCGTCCTTCTCCTCCTCCTCCTCTTCCCCTGCGTCCTCCAGCGTCCCCCTCCAACGTCCCCCTCCAGCCCCTCCAGCGCCCCCTCCTCCCCCCCTCTTCCCTCCTCCTGCGTCCTTCTCCTCCTCCTCCTCTTCCCCTGCGTCCCCTCAGCGTCCCCCCAGCGCCCCCTCCAGCCCCCTCCAGCGTCCTCTCTTCCGCCAGCGTCCCCCAGTATGTTCCTCCTCCAAACTCCTTCAGCCTCCTCCTCTTCCTCCAGCCTCTTTCAGCCTCCTCCTCCTCCTCCTCTAGCCTCTTTCAGCCTCCTCCTCCTCCAGCCTCTTTCAGCCTCCTCCTCCTCCAGCCTCTTTCAGCCTCCCTCCTCAGCCTCTTTCTCCTCCTCCTCATCCAGCCTCTTTCAGCCTCCTCCTCCTCATTCAGCCTCGTTCAGCCTCCTCCTCCATCCTCCCAACCTCTTTCAGCCTCCTCCTCTTCCTCCAGCCTCTTTCAGCCTCCTCCTCCTCCTGCCTCTTTCAGCCTCCTCCTCCTCCAGCCTCAGCCTCCTCCTTCAGCCTCCTCAGCCTCCTCCTCCCTCCAGCCTCTTTCAGCCTCCTCCTCCAGCCTCTTTCCAGCCCTCCTCCTCCTCCAGCCTCTTTCAGCCTCTCCTCCTCCAGCCTCTTTCCTCTTCATTCAGCCTCCAGCCTCCTCCTCCTCCAGCCTCAGCCTCTTTCAGCCTCCAGCCTCACCGGTTGCCCAACCTTTCTACAGTGTATTGTATATTATTGTATATTCTTCAGTAAACAACACTACTTCCTGCTGGTAACGTCCACACACCACACCACGCCACACCCTCGCAACGTCACATCCCCGCCACGCCACACCCTCGCCACGCCACACCCTCACCACGCCATACCCTCGCCACACCCTTACCACGCCACACCCTCGCCACACCCTCATAAGAACATAAGAATGGAGGAAACTGCAGCGGGCCTATTGGCCCATACTGGGCAGTCCCGTTTACACCCAACCCCTATTGCTCATATAAGCATCCAACCTATGTTTGAAGCTATTCAGCGTATTCGAGTTAATGATGATATTTGGTAACTTGTTCCATTCATCCACTACTCTGTTTCCAAACCAGTGTTTACCGATTTCACGCCTAAATCTAAATTTATCTAATTTAAAACCATTGTTACGAGTTCGCTCCTGGTTGGATAGTTTGAGTACCTTTGTAATGTCCCCTTTGTTTAGCCCTGCCTTCCACTTATACACCTCTATCAGGTCGCCCCTCGCTCTACGTCTCTCGAGGGAGTGCAAATTAAGATGCTTTAGCCTGTCTCTATATTCAAGGTTCCTAATGCCCGGGATTAGTCTTGTCATTCTCCTCTGAATTCTTTCCAAGGATTCTATATCCATTCTGTAATACGGTGACCAGAACTGAACTGCGTAGTCCAGGTGTGGTCTCACAAGAGCAAGATACAGTTTTACGATGACCTCGCTAGTCTTGTAACTAACACTCCTTTGTATGAACCCAAGTACTTTATTAGCCTTGTTACGAGCAAAAACACATTGTTTACTTGGTTTAAGGTTCCTACTTATCATTACTCCTAAATCTCTCTCGCAGTCGGATTTCTCTATGGCATCGTTGTTCATCTGGTATCTGGTTTCCCTGTTTACATCTCCTATACTGAGTACTTTAAATTTGTCGACGTTGAATTTCATCTGCCATTTTTCAGACCATTCGAAAAACTTGTTTAGATCTTCCTGTAGTTTTGCCGAGTCCTCGTCAGATTTAATAACACGTCCTATTTTAGTGTCATCAGCAAATTTACTTATGTTGCTGTCTATGCCGATATCTATGTCGTTTATGTGTATACTAAATAATAATGGTCCAAGTACTGAGCCTTGGGGAACACCACTTGTGACGTTGCTCCAATGGGACTTAGTGCCGTTAATGCTCACTCGCTGTTTCCTGTTCTGTAACCACGCCCTAATCCATTTAAGGATGTCACCTTTGATGCCATGTGCTTCTACCTTTCTCATTAGTCTTTCGTGGGGGACTCTGTCGAAGGCTTTGCTAAAGTCGAGATATACCACATCATAATTGTGCCCCTCGTCCACCGATTCGAAAACTGATGAAAAGAATGTTAATAGATTAGTTAGGCAAGAGCGTCCGCTTGTGAAGCCATGCTGGGAATCATTGATCAATCTGTGCTTCTCCAGGTGATTTCGAATAGAGTTTGAGATGATTGCTTCCAGTAATTTGCCTACTATTGATGTTAAACTGATTGGGCGGTAGTTAGAGGATAGTGATCTATCCCCCTTCTTGAAAATCGGTATTACATTCGCTATCCTCCAGGATTCTGGTACTACACCTGTTTTTAAGGACATGTTAAACAACTTTGCTAAGGGCATACTAAGCTCTTCCTTACATTCCTTTAATACTCTGGCAAATATCTCATCGGGACCAGGTGACTTATTAGGCTTTAGTTTGTCTATTTGCTTACTAACGTCGTTACTAGTCACTACTATCTCACTTAATTTGTTTTCTTCACTATCTCTGAATAGAGTCGGTGCCTCGGGTATCATGTTTAAATTTTCGGTGGTGAAAACTGTTGAAAAATATTTATTCAAATTATTGCTCATTTCTCTGTCGTTATCAGTGAGCTCGCCGGTGTCTGACCGTATTGGTCCAATCGTTTCTCGTGTTTTTGTTTGATGCATTTGGTAGAATCCTTTGGGGTTTGTCTTCGCCTCCCTTGCTATCCTTACCTCATTATTCCTCTTTGCTTTCCTTATCTCGGTTTTAACCCTACTCGCCAATACCCTATAATAGTCCCGGAGGTGAATTTCGCCACGATTTATCCTTCTACCTATAGCCTTCCTTTGGCCAATGATGTTCCTTAAGTAATTATTAATCCATTTAGGGTCATTGTTGTCTGATCTGAGTTTTTTGTATGGTATGTTCTGCCTTTGTGCATTAAGTAACTCACTATTTAAATTGTCGTGGAACTCGGCAATCTCAGATCTCGTTATCAGGTCGGTGTCATCTGACAGGTTCACTGCCAAGCGCGACACCCCCTCTCTCAGCTGCCTCTTTAAACTGTCAAAGTTCGCCCTTCTGAAATCTGGTACTTTCGTGGAATTTTCCTTACGTCTGCCCTGAAAGTCTAACTGCAATAGGCCGGTTGGCCTGTGCATGGCAGCTCCTGTCGAGAGTTACTACCACTCTCTATCATCCATGAATCTATCCAGCCTCCTTTTGAAACTTTTCAGCGTTCCAACACTTACTACAAAGTTG